GAGCAAAATTGAGTATTTTGGTCTAAATAACCCAAAATGTGATGTCCACATATGTGGACGGTAGGTCCTAGGAGGTTAAAGGCGATCATGTGATATTGACCAAATCTCCAGAAAAAAGACTATTTTTCTAACACCAATAATCTAGTTGATCAGACTGATTTGCATACTGTAGAAAGCACCCAGAGAAGGAAATGTGTAATTTGGGCTACAGAACATCTGGCAATTTTTATGACTTCTGTTGAGATAATTACTACATGTCTGAAAGATGGAGGGATTTGTAAGTTATATTCAACAGTGCTACAAACATATCCGCTGGGTAGCCTAAACTCATATAACTGCGCTTCTAGAGAATGAAAGCCTCACTGAAAGCCTGTAACTGAAACCAGAATAAATTCACAGAGTAGAGCACAGCAATTAAAAAAATATTTAGATGATAAAAAAGAACCTCTTGTCTTTCCTCCCTTTTGCACATAATCTGCCTCAACTGACTCGGTGATATTTATGCTTTAATCTGAAACCTGTAATTGCTCTGCAGTCGGTGCTGAGAAAAGTTGTGCAGCTGCAGCCTTTGGCGCTTCACTTTCGGCCAATCAAAGGCTGTGGCAAAGCTCACGAGCTTCAGATATCCATAAGACCCCACACGCTTAGCCGCACACAATGCAGTGCATATGCTAGGTTTCATATCAGCGCGGTGTTCTCCTGCCTTGCTGCCAAATCCCTCAGGGCTTGTCTGTGGATTCCTTCTTGTTAGGTTTTTGCAACGGGCCAGTTTGCGTTTCCTTTGCACAGAGGGTTGGTTATGGCTCCCCTGTGCACTACAGGAGGAGACATCCATTTACACGCTGTGGTTCCAGCTTCAAAATGGGACAGTGACTAATGATGCTGTCTTCGTTAGCTTTAACAAGTAAGACGCCATTCGCTGTGCCGCACTGTTAAAAAGGGGCCATGGTACGGTTTTGTGTCGCACACATTTAGAATGCATTTTCAGACATATATGTTGTGGAAAGGAGACACGTAAGCTTTCTCAGATTAATTATGAAATAATACTTTTCAGGTTTCTCCTCTGCAGGGTTTTGGATTGTCAAGTAGACGTATTATTAACTTTTCAGCATATTCAGCTGCCTCTCTAGTCAGTTTCTCGTCCTTTGGCTTAACACCAACTCAACTTCCTTAGCTGCATGTGAACCTCTTTTCTGCAGCAGAATTCTTAAAGAGGCGCTCCTGCTCGCAACAGACCCCCAAAACAGAAGAAGTGCTACTGTCGCAAGGCCCATGTCTATACAGTGGATGTGGCACACACCCAGTGGCAGGATGAAATTCTGCATGCTGATTCACTGTTGCAGCTCATTTGGGTCTCTTAACAGAACTGATCTGTTGATAATTTGACATGTACGTCCCCTGCTGTAACACTTTAAAAAGTTTCCTGGAAAAAAAACCTCTATAACAACCTGGACAGGAAGCCACCCAATAGCAAAAATACAAGATGGGAACGGGTGGGGTAAACTGGAGTGAGTAGATTATTTACTAGTAAATGGAGATGCTTTTGTTTAAAAAAAGAAAAGAAAAAAAGATAAGAAAATGGTGAGTTAAAATACCTGGGTGGTCTACCTACACCTAACTGAAGTTTATGTTGAAGAAACACTGCGTTACTTTCATCTTCCCTGCGTGTCCTTGTATGCACTGCTGATTATACGTTAAAGAACTCTCAGTCACACAGGATGTGACTGATTTGGGTCAAACAAATGACTAATAAATTATGTGTGTCTGCGCGTGTGCGTTTGTGTGTTTGTGTGTGTGAGAGAGATGCTTTTGCATTTGCCCTTAGCTGCATATATCTCAGTTCTCGTGTAACTTTGGAAGTGGATGGTCACGATATTAAGCGGCATGTGACACATACACAAATTTGCTGCCAGCAGCATGCAGATGGCCAGCTTAATCCAAAAAGCAGCTAAACAACCAGAAAGACACTGTTGTCAGTCAGCATTAGAATTTATTTCCTGTTAATATAAAAGACTATTCAGACTTTGTAATGCTTTACTCGCACAATATACTCTTGTGTGGTTGATTTTCTTATCAAAGTGTTTCACAGGTAAGGTGTATACCATTATAACATTGGGGAAACTGTTATGCTACAGGGAGAGGAAACATTTCCTTTTATTGAGGACAGTTTATGTCCAGGAAAGCGCAGATAGAGATTAGAATAAAAATTGATTACATATTATGTAAGAACTCCTTTCGAACCATTTCATCATGTAGATGAAAGATAAAAGGAGCCGGCCGAGGTGGTTCGAGGATCTGATGGGGATACCTTCTAGGCGCCTCCTGGGCATGGTGTTGCTGGGATGTCCTACTAAGAGGAGACCCTGGGGCAGACCCAGGACATGCTGGAGAGTTTATATCTCTCAGCTGGCCTCGGCGTTCCCTTGGATGAGCTGGAGGAGGTGGCTGGGGTGAGGGAGGTCTGAGCTTGTCTGTTTACACTGCTACCCCCACAGCCCTTCTCCATATGAGTGCAGATGGATGTTGCACATTTAATACTGCCCACATATCAAAAATAGAAGTGGGCAATATGGTTATGGACTAAATATTTAATTTTATTTTTTGATATTTTTATATCTTGATATCAGTGGCAATAAATTCTCTTAATTTGTGAATTACAGCCAACCAGCGGTAACAAAGCCTATAGCTTTGTTTCTGTATTTCACACAGAGCTATAACCTGTGAATCCTGATTGATCGTGGGCCAGATGAGCCACTAGTCATTAAAGTTCTAATTATTTTACATTGTAATCTCTATTTCCAGTACAATTCATATTAAGCAATGTTCATATTACCAACAAATTGACTTTTTATGTCCTTAATTAATATTAGCCTGTGACTGGATACTTTTCACACACCCTGAAAGGCTCATGCTTTGCACAGCGAAAGATGATTAACTTGTTGACCTGTTGAGGACATAAGGTTGTGTGTTTTATTATCTTTGAGAATGTACACATATTACCAAGGAGTACCTAATATAAGTGCGCTAATTGCATTTAAAAGCTCTGTGCCAGATGTTGACACTGTTAATGAGAGCAAAAGAGTGTCTGTTCTAAATATGGGGGGGGGGGCATTTCAACTGCAGTCAGATTATTAAGTACAAGCCTCTCAGAGATGTACTTTTGCTTTTTGGGTAGGAACTGTGGGCGTTTGGCACTAAAAGCAATGCTCATAGATGTGAAGTGCAGTGATTTGCAGATGCACTGCTTTTAATCTGATGTTACTGGCAATGCTCGCATCTAGAAAAGGTGTTTTTTTTCCTTGGGGGGGGGGGTGTACAGACCTAACAAATTACATGTGCCTGGCAGACTTCTCGAGCGATAAAGTTTTGAAATTTGTGTGTCTGCAGGTCCATCATGACAGACTTGTACTACCTCAGCCAGGCAGATGGAATTGGTGAATGGAGAATGAAGGAGGCTAAAGACCTGTCGGATCTAGTCCAAAACAGAATCACCTATCTACAGGTATCCACAGACACACCAGCTGCTGAGCCAACTGGACTGTACCATTTCACACACAAACATACACAAAGGTGTCGGAGACATAACTATGCTGTGAGCATCGATGCAAATATTTTCTTCACACAAATAAATGCACATATGCATACACCAGAAATATCTTTCGCACTTGCTCGTTTGATTTGCACCGTCCATATCTGTCAACATCAGTTTGCACAACTAGCAGGTGAGTGGTACCATAGCAGACGGTTTCAGCAGTTACATTTGACAAGCTTGTTGTTTGTCAGCAGTTTAGTGTCACCTACGCACATGCGGCAAAGCACAGAAACGCAAAGTGACAGATCAGCACATGTGGATATGCGAAAATGTAAAGAAATCTCAATGCACTACAGTAACAGACACAAATGCACACACTCACCAAGAGTCACAGAGATGCACATACACTTACAGGCCAATGCATGCACAACTCAAGACCCGGGACGCATTCACTCGCTTCAGCTGCCCTGCTCCCCTTCTCCAGCTCTGGTGCTGCAGGGTTCCCGGGCGGGGCGTTGTGGTGCGGCACCATGCCCTGCAGCATTAATGAGCCGGTGTGTTTGACGAAGAGGACCCAGTCAGTCTGGCTGGGTGGAGACAGCACCACTAACAGCTGCTGTCACCACCGCTGAGGGATCACACCGCTCTACCAGCTGCCATCACTAATTCATCACACACGCATACACACATTCGTGTACAGATGGATTCATCCGCACCTATGCGGGCAACTGGCGCACATTCACACAACCTCAGCTTTACATATGCACACGCTCATACCCGAAGAGTGTGTGCACGTGAGTTTGTGCGTGTGTCTCTTTCAACATCCCTTATGCATACTCACACATATATCCATACTCACACAGACGGACTCCTCCCTCCTGTCCTCCTGTCTCTGCCACTCGCACCAGCCTCTCCTTTCATTCCCGGTTTAACTAACTCCATTTCTCCGTCTGCTCCATCTGTCCACTCGCAACATCGAGGCTCACTTCTTCAGATGGCGCTCTGTTGGACAAGCCTTTCATCTATTTTTGCACTATGAGCCTTTGCGTAGTGGTGTTAAAAGCTAATGAACAAAATCATGTTTTTGATCTTTGGTGCTTTTGCACACCATTTCCCAGAGACCACTTATCACTATAAATCTGTCCAGTGCTTGGCATGGCGTGCTTGTGTGCTTATAATCACAATCACCCTAGCCAGCTCTACAAAGCTTTATTGCATCTTTCAGCTGATTTGTTTTGCTTTTATTTGTGCAATTTTGGCCCCAGCAGGCAGCTGTTTTGATTCAAAGAGCTACTGTACAAGCTGAGTAAAAACTGGAGCTTTGGCAGCTCTGTGGTTGTGTTCACCTGTTACAGCTTTAAGATAGTTGTCCAGATAGATTTGATCACCTATGCCCCTCAGTGCCAGAGATCCAATCAGAGTAATGTTTACTAATCACTTGGAGTAAGGCATAAATCAAGTGCTCATGTCAATGCCAAAGAAGGAAAGCAGATCGTGTACCTGTTAGTAACACATCTAGAGACATGAAGAGTGCGAGCATTCATCCCATCACACTGTTAACGCTGAAGAATCCAAAGACAGTCTTGATCTATGATTGAATGTTGTTTTCTATGGTGTTAGCTTTTGTCTGTTGTGCTTACATGTACCCTTGTGCGTAGGTATAGAGTTTAAATCCCATTAACAAAAAGGAGACTTCTCGTGTAACCGGAAAAACAATTCAATAGAAAACCGATTGCAGAATGCAAAACGTTTTGCCGTTGCTTCCAACAAAGAAAAACTATCAGGAAAAACAAAATGTGAAATCATTTCATAAAATGATCCATGAATGAATAAAGGAAACGACACATGCTAAAACCTTTTAAAAAGTTCTTCCTGCATCGGATTTTCTAATAATGATATTGGATTTCGTTTTTTTCTGAAGGTGAAGCTCGTGCAGCCATTGTAGATGTTCATGCTAATTAACCAGTCCCTCTAAATGACACGCGATTGCACCTTCATGTGTAAAATATGTCACAGCCTGTCAGCAAGAGGTGTTTTTCCTAAAAAGGCATCCGTGAGGAAAATGCAGAAGCTTTAATGAGCTGAATATATTATGCAGTTTATTGCTGAAACATCAACATATTATTGTAAGTCTCCTGCCAGCAAAGCGCAGCAACACCGATTTTACTTCAAACGTGCTGGAGTCTTACTTTAGAAGGGGTCTATTATGCTCATTTACAGCGTCGTATATTCTACTTTTGGACTATACTACAGTAACTTCACACGATTCACAGTTCAAACTAATACTGATATATAACTGCTCATCTTACAGTGCTCTGTTTGAAATGAGCTGTTTTCACTCTTTTGTCTTTCCCTTTAAGTTCTGGGCCTTACTCTACGATGCTTGTTCAAGGATATCTTTCCATTATCTGCATTCGTTTACTCTAACATTGTCGATCTGTTTAAATGATCACACAAAGGTTGTTATCTACTAAGTTAACCTGCATTCACACAAAAGGGCTGGTGTTGGCAGCATCTGACGAATCCTAAAGTGGCGTTTCACAGATCACATGACTCTTCTTCCACGAAAATGATCACTATGAGCCCCTACAACAGAAACATTATCAAATGTATAGAGAACTTAGAAAATGCGACTTTAAAACGAAACACTGTTGAAAAAAGGACACATATTGATCGTTAATCATTAATTTTAGCGCATTAAACAGGTAAAATAAACATTTTAATTCCTGTTGATTGTTTTATCACAGATTGTGTTCTAAGTGCTGCTATTTATTTTCTAAGGTGACAGCTGCACCTTAAAACTCTGAAACTTTAAACAGGATCCATTTAAACATTAAAGTTTACTAACTAATAAACAAGAAGTTGAAATCGCTTCAATTTGATTCGGATCCAAGGGAAATTAATTTTGTCCCAGCCGGTGTGAAACTGAAACTCAGAACATAACCTGCTCCTACTGTTCAGGCACAGACGTCTGAGGGATCTTCCAGGAGTTGTGACGCTATTTTCTGGAGAACTGATTTATCAGTAGGTAGTGATTTTATACCTGTTGATCTCTAAACTGGATCTTAACCTGCTCCAGCACAGGTTAGGTTCACAGCATAAGTTACCATGGTGATTTAGAGATGTTGCCTGGATAAGCCAAAATCCTGCTTTGTGGTGTAGGCCTCTCATTGGTTGCCTGTTGTAAACAGAACATTCACAGCCAGAGCCTGAGATGACAGTATTAAGCATGCCCCCTCTCTATGACATCACTCAGATCCAAGAGGAGAAAAATTGCTTGAAATCAAACATTTAGAACAGTCTTAAGTCTTGGATTTTATTCATACGTGCACTGATCTCATGTTTTGTTTTTTTTTACATCTAATATAATCATCCAGTGTGGTAAGATAAATGCGTATGACAAAAATAGGAAAACACAAAAGGAGCCCTTTGAACAACTTGTCACGATTGAATTTCAGCATCACAGTGGATAATTACCTAAGCTCGGCATACTTCTGTCTCAAATTCAGTGGTCCTCAGCCATAGTCCCTAAATAAACAATATCTCCGTGGTCTCTCTAGTGCAAATCGCTCTGCAGCTGATGCTGTGTTTCACACTCAAAAAAAGCACAATTTAAACAGCCACTTAACCTACAGTACAAAGCGCTATTCGAAGGCTGCCTTTGTGCATGCATCGGCCGTCATTATCCTTGAACCACGTCTCTTAAGCGCTGCAGTCATTCCTGCTACACCATTACCGCCCTGGCATCCAACGGTGGCCTCCACGCCGCGAGATTCATTCTACAGAATGATCTCATGCACGTACTGTGACTCGGGGGCCAGGTTTGACACTGAAAACAAGCTCAGGATGCCACTGTAGATTATTAGTTCAGTAAGTTAGCCTACACCTATGGGGGTAGTAGCGGCAGCCTGTAACTCGAAGGGAAATACCTGTGTGGCTTGTTCTGTCACCTCTATGGCTGCTGTAGCCTGTTCATGTTATTGAGCAGCAGCGGTGGTAATCAGTTTTCTTCACATAAAGGATCCTCTCTTCTTTCCTTTTTTTCCTTTTCCTTTTTTTTATTGCCTCTTGTCCTCTTTTTACATTCATCACCACATTTTTTTTTTTAATGCTTTCATCCCTTTTCCTCGCCGCTTCCCTCTCCTTCCCTCCTCCTCCACCCTCTCTTCCTTTTCCTCTCCTGCTAGTGTATGATAGGCAGCGTTAGCCGGTGGGTGCCGGGCGGCCTGATTACTGTGAACCATCCACAGCTGCAGCAGCCTAATGAGGAAAACACTCCCATCAGCCGGTAATTGCTGTTTAGGAAGCTGGTTGGCATGAGCGTTGTGGAGTCGCTCAGACCGGCTGCTGAGCGAATCGCTACCCGCCCGGCAACTCATCGACAGCACAGCATGTGTCACTCTCTTCTGGTTTCCAATTTTTTTTTTTTTTTTTTAAATGTTAAAAAAAAGAGAGAAATCCTTGTTTCTTTCCCCAGCGCCTCTCATTTGGTATTCTCCACCTCAGACTTTGTATGATATTGAAGCTAATGTTCAAGAAGAGGAATGAGACTGAAGTAGTGGGGAAGATGGGGGATTAGAGGGAGTGGAAAGGGGAACAAGCAGGAGGGAGGTTGCAAGAAATAAAGCGCTATAGAGTGGTAAAAGGAGTGATTGTAAAGGTGAAACATTGAGAATGCAGCAAAAGAAAGGGGCTGTGAACCGTGAAGGCATGAGCGAAAGTAAATGATGAGGCTTTCAACAGTCTACATTTTTACTTACTGTCAACAAATCACAGGAATAGAGCTCATCTGACAGATTGTCATCTTTATAGGCTCAATAATTTCTTGAAACAGGTGGTAAACTGCAGTTTAATTGTCAACAAGTGTTATATATTTATACATGGTATATAATACTGGGAGCTATACTTTGCTTAATGTTGATATGCACTAGTAAATATGTATGAAACTGAAAATGTTCTACAGTCTCTATTTTTACAATAATGAAGACAACAGTTTCACACATTTTTAGGGCCATAATTTGTTGGATTAAGGTTTTGGTAGTAATCAATATGTGGTTGAAGTAGATATACTTAAAGAGATTTAACGAAAAGGATTTGGATGCACTTTGGGGGGAATTATAGCCATTTTTGTGCACAGTCCTCTATTGTCAGATGCTCAAAATTAGTTGAACAGACTATTATCATCTAAAATATAAGGATTGTTTTTAATTACTAAGATGAAAGTCTTCCCCATCAGTGGCTGCTTGTAGTCTAGAATTCATAGACATCTTCAAATGCTCTTTTTTTCTCCCTTGAAATGCTCTTCCGGGCCTTTATCAAAGCCACCTTTAGTTGCTATTTCTGTAGGCCTCTCTACATTCGTTTTTGTAACTAATGACTGAAAGGATGCTATGCTGGGTTGAGATCATGCATGAGACTTGGCCATTAAAGAATATTTAAATTTTAGTTAAAACTGAGCAGAGAGTATAGATCTGTACATTTCACAATTCATCCCAGTGTTTCTACCAGCATTCATATCATAAATAAAACAGCAGTGACCCAGATCCACTGCCAACCACACATGCCTATTCCATAACACTGCCTCCCTCATGTCTGGCAGATACAGTAGTAAAGAGGGAAGCCTCACCTGGCCATGAAACTGTTCTTCGGGAAATAATCCTATTAATTTAATAATAATAATAATAATGAATTGCATTTATATAGCGCTTTTCGGGACCCTCAAAGTGCTTTACAATTCCATTATTCATTCACTCTCACATTTATACACTGGTGAAGGCAAGCTACAGTTAGCCACAGCTGCCCTGGGGCAGACTGACAGAGGCGAGGCTGCCATATCGCGCCATCGGCCCCTCTGGCCATCACCAGTAGGCGGTAGGTGAAGTGTCTTGCCCAAGGACACAACGACCGAGGCTGTCCGAACCGGCAACCTTCTGATTACAAGACGAACACAAACAGTTGTCTAAGCATTTCATTGCATGTCGTACTGTGTATGTGACAAATAAAATTTGAATTTGAATTTAAATTTGAAAAATCACTATAATTCTTAAGCACTGTAACACTGTAGAAGTATAGAATGTATATCCTTTAACAATAGAAGGTATGAGACTAAAAAGGAGAGGGGGAGGAGGCAAAATTAATTTAAAGAGTAGAGAAAAATAGCATGTACAGCAGGAAAGGCAACCTGGGAGTAAGCAGGCATCGTGAAATTAGAGTGGTGTATTAGATAAGAAAAGGACACAAAACAATATCAGCTATTTGATATTAAAAGTCACAGAGTAGGTCTTTGAGAGATACAAGGTGGAGGTCAAGCAATAAAAAATGTTGAACCACTCTTTCCTTCTCCCAGAACCCCCCAGACTGCAGTAAGGCGAGAAAGCTGGTGTGTAACATCAATAAGGGCTGTGGTTACGGCTGCCAGCTCCACCATGTCGTCTACTGCTTCATGATCGCTTATGGCACCCAGCGCACGCTCATTCTGGAGTCTCACAACTGGCGCTATGCTCCCGGCGGCTGGGAAACAGTCTTTCTGCCCGTCAGTAACACCTGCACTGACCGCTCTGGGGCCACCACTGGACACTGGTCAGGTGAGTACACACAAAATTAACAGCACAACAATGAATTACAGACAGTGAAAGCCTCAGAGATGCCAGTTGTGACTAGTTACGCGCTGATTTCTGGACGATCCCACCTCAAACAGGCTTTGCCAGACCTTTTCTTTCATGCTGTTACAGCGAAAGCAAAGTGTGAATTCCCTGGCTAAGCATTACTATGCAATTCTTGTTAAAACGTTTTGGCAGCCAGTGTAGCAGCACGTTAATGTTCATAGATTTTATAGCCAAAAAGTAAAAAATCATTTTCTGTATGCACCTCACTCCTCTGACCTACAGTAATTTTATATGTGCAAAAGTCTCTGATAGAGCCTAGAGGCTGATATTGAAGGGAACATTCTGATTCACAATTTCCTGCACATCCTGTAGGTTTCATCACAGACCGAGCATAAATAAACTGCATCAATTAGAGCTAATTTATGGAATCCTAGGTTAAGAGGACTGTTGTCATTTCTCTGTTGTAGCCCCAGGCTGTGGCAGAGACTGACTGAAGGGTCTTATATTCCCATACAGCTTCACTATTGCATCATTTTCCTGTCAAAAATCTATTTTGACACCAAGTTAATTTTCAGCTGAATGTAAAAATGCTTTTTTACACGTATGTTAGTGAAAATAAACAGGATCTCTTTCATTTATAAACAGTCCATGGACCATTTTTCATCAAAGTAGGATTGTTATTCCATCTGCGGTACTTTACATTTAGCACCATTGCTCTGTTCTGGTACACCCTGCCCTTCAGTGCACAAACATGGAAAGACAATGACATGATTAATGATTAAGTTAGAAACAGCGTGAAATGGAGGAACAAGGGTAGAGGTCAATTGCAAAGCATCTTCCAGATACATCAACCTAGAAACTGGCGACCTCCGGTCACACAAGAAAAATGCGTATTCCTTGTTTGGCTTGCAGGTGGTTGCTGGAAGTTAATCAGTCAATGACTCACCCATAACCACAAGTTGCTATGGAAAAAACTGTATTATCCAGTTTTTTCCATAGCAACTTGTGCTATGGAAAAAGCACAAGAAAAAGAAAATTTGCTTTCACATTAAGCCTTAGCAGCCATTTCCAGAGAAGTTGGCATCTTCCATGCAAACAACAAGAAACCATGACAATATGCTAAGCAACCAAAGCGGTCTCAAGAGGGTTTTTGGTGCAGCACCCTCTTCAACCTCCAGAAACCACTTGCCGACCAGTTAGGAAATATATATATTCCCTTAGCGACCAGTGGCGGGTATGTGCTGACTGGTGCTAGGGCTGTGTGCCTGGGGGACCTGAAATAGCACATATTCCAGGTGAGCTCTGTCCATAGTACATGTGGAAGGATATTGGCTGACTGCCATAGTTGGCTCATCTTGCCTGAACTAATTCTATGCTTGATTTTTTTTTTATATTTTGAAGACATTTTACGTATATGCCAGGGGACACTTAAAGGGAATATAAATATTCATGCAGGTTTGGGGCATAGCTTTAAACCCGAGTCTCTTATTTCATATTTCACATTTGTATTTTTCGCAACAGTAGAAATGCCCATACCAGCACAGCTTTAGGCATTTGCCAAAGGAATAGTCTGGCAGCAAAACCACTGTCGTACTCATCACCTTCAGATTTACATACAGACAATGCTAGTATGGCTGTTGATTCATGGTGTTGTTATTTTTGCGTGACATTAGAATTCTGCACACTTCCAGTTCATTGTGAACACAGTTGAAGCAAAAGTTAGTTCGTATGTACAGCTGATACCAGAATACCTTAGGCCAAAGATTGATGGGGCTGTTGGGAGGAAAAAGATCTCCCTACTAATGCACAGGCAGCAGAATCATTTATAAATGAATTCAACCGTTTTATAAAGTGCAATTTTAATATGACTGAGTCCCACAGTATATGTTTGTTTTTCCACTTCTAAGCTGACATTACCGGAGCATATGTAAAGGGAGCTCAGTTATGACTGAGAAGTGTTACTATGAGACTGTACCTGCCTCCCTCTTTATCACGTTATCTTCCACTGCCTCCTCGTTCTCGTCGCCATGTCCTTTCAGCTCTTCATTTTTCTCCTATCGCATTATTTTACTTGTGCTCTCCTGGGCTCTCCCTTCTTATCTCCTGCTCTCCCTCTGCCTTCCCTCTCTTATTCTCCTGCCTTTCATGTGTCCTTTTCCACTTTTTAATGTATTTGGTAGGAGTTTGTCTTGCAAACAGTCTCCTATAGATCCATATATGCCATCTGGCAGCGCACATCAGCAGGCAGCTCCCTCCAAATGTCACTACCCTCCTTAGGCCTTTTAGCATTCTGAATTGTTGTCCTTATAAAAGCCTGCAATTTGCAGAGGCAGTAGTTTCTGATAATCAAGCCAGCTAACTAGCTGGGCATAGCTAATGTAATCCTGTTGGGTACTTGGCTACGCCTGTGGTCATGCCTGTTTTGTTAACAGTGCAAGCAAGGACTTTCCTTGGGGCACTAGACCACAAAGGGATGCTAAAGCCTTGGATTAATAAGTAGATATACATTGAATATCTCGCTAATTAAGTGGAGTGTTTGCCCATGCCAGTGCAATTACAGTGTTTAATGTAGTGAATACTGATCTCTTCAGAACTTGTAGTAGTGCCAATACAAGCTGAATTCCCAGATGGTAGTGAGCGCTCCCTTTTGAGGACACTTTATTTTCTACTTTTGTTTCTCTCAAATTCTCCTCTTCAAAATGTTCTTTATCATTTGGTTGTGAATGTCACCACTTGTTTGTGTTTACATTCATGTAGAAACATGCTTTGGGTTGTCCTGTACTGAGTTATGCCTTTTGTATTGTTTCTGTTTATGTGGTGAAATTGACTTTTCTGGTATATTGTGTAGCAGCCCTTCACGATTCCAATTTCCTTATATATCTATACATGGTTCTCCCACTTTCTGTTAAGTGTTTTCCCCCAGGACGTGAGACATTTATAGACCTAGAGAGGATCTATGGTTTATGCGTATGTGACAGGGTGTTTCTATCAGGAACACATAATGCTTGCGGGAAACATCAAAGATAGCAACGAAGTCATTATGGGACCCGCTGATTTTCTTTCCGCAAATGGGAAACAAAAAACAAAACATTACAAGACGATCCACCCTGAAATAATCAGGACATACAGGGTTGCCTTCTATGGTTTGTTCTACAGCTGAAAAAAAAAGAAGGATAGGCTAAGAAATTAATATAGCCACTACAGTGACCATCAATATAAAATATAACAATTTTTAAGGATTGGGGTAGTGATCAATATACAGTATTAGTATTTTCTAGTCTCTTTTTTCTGTTGGTTTTGGGAGACGAAACGTTTCTCCCACTGAAAATGCTACATCCAGATGAACAGAATCAACTTTTGGACAGTTAATATAAACATAATTTACACCAGATAGGACCTTTAACTACAGAAAAAGACTATATGGATAGAACCATAAACCCATTCAGTGAAGCTTCTGGCACACAGTTGTTGTGCTGATGTTAATGCCAGAGGAGGTTTGGAAAACACTGCGCTTTTTGAGTCAACAGAGTGTTAACAACTATGATACACCAGGCAACCACCGCTCTGTAGCTTTACGTGGTCTGCTACTTTGTGACTGAGTTGCTGCCGTTCTTAAACACTTAAACTTTGCAAGAAATGGCAAAAAATAATGCATTTCCATATCTACCCCTGCTGACTGTTTATTCCACTCGTTCGTGTTGCTCTTCTGCCACAACTTTTGTTTTCAGTGGACAGCTGGAGAGCTTAACACCGTCACTCATCTGGTATAACAGACTAAAGTCTCGACGCATAGAGAGGAAACCAGGCTTTTTTTGGAACAATGCTTCGTTGATCAAAGAGCTAATTTGCCAAAGAGAGAATATTCCTTTGAGGTTCTTTGTAGAGATATCACTGCCTTATGTGCAAGTCTGAGAGCAGCAGGAGAAACATAATGTTCCCTGCCATGGATAGACTGGAACAAGAGATCTCCAAGTTCATAAACTAAGTCTCAAATGTATTATGAATGGAGAGGCTCCATATTTTGAGTCTGGATGGTGTCACTCACAGCTCAACAGTTTCTTAGCCATGTTAATCTCATAAAATATTCATTAGGCTCTGTATACATCAGCGACTTAAGTTTAGGAATTCTGTGTCAGTGCAGACCCATGTGCTCTAAGTGATGATGCATACAGGAAATGAATGTAGGGGTTTTGGAGTTGAGATACAATTTAGAGTAGCTTTGTGATCTAATTAAGTAGCTGTGGGAGGAAGACATACTGCATATCTGTACATTTGTGCCAAGAAGTGAAGGCCTCGAAATATGCCCATTCCCCCTTATGTGAATCGTGCCAATTCTGTTATATAAGCAAAGACAGACTTGGGAATATTTTTTCTTTTCAATATTTAATGCTTGCAACCAATTTATATTCAGTTCATGCTCCTGCATGCGCACACACACACAAATTGAAGCCTCTGTTGCTGCCCTTGTTTTTAACATGTTTTTTATGTACCCTTTCTGTGAAAGGCCATTTTTAATGACTCATTATGCCATTTATCTTGAAGTGTGCTATGGAAGCAGCGTTTGCAGCTGTACTAGGGGCTGTCTGTGGCAGTTACAAAAGCCACTTAAGTTTGACAGAACACAGGCCTCAAACTTGTTTTTACCTAAATCCGGGGTTTACGCGCAAACTCTGCTCAGGCTTTAAGACTGAAAGAGAGTGGAGGTTGTGTCTGCCAGCCATATCCCTTCTGGTGAGATGAGATTAGCTGGAGCTCTTTGTCTGTGTTTTTGGGTGTGAATACATATTTCCCTTTTTATTTGGGTCTCCATTAGTTATCATTGTCAAACCAAACCTTGTTCCACTGTTCAGAAGCTTTTGTACACGTGCACGCTCATGTGTCCATGTTCCCACTGGCATTTTTTGTGACTGGGTGCATCCATGTTTGCATGCTTGTGTGCATTTCCCACTTTTGTTCACACATGCAGGTGTGTGTCATGCACCTGCAAGTGCCTTTGTGTAGAGGCAGTTGGCCTTGAAGGCTAGGGGAGGTCTGGCAGTGCTCAGGGGCTCTTTATTTCCCAAAGAGGTGACCTTCATAATCAGCCGTGCTCAACCCTTCTGCTCAGGGCTTCTTCCAAGAAGGACTTAGCCTAAGGGTGCCACACCACCAGCCACCCCTTCAACCTCTCTCCCCAAACCCTCAAATCCAAATCTTTGCCTCAGCCCTCTGGCCCTCTACAACCTTGACAGAAAGGAGCTTGACTTGGCCTTTCAGCAAGGAGAGGTGAACAATAGCTGTCAGTCATCAAAGCTGGACACACTACGGTTGAGGATTTGGACTGATAGTGGAACCAGGATAGGAATTAATATAGAAACTATGACACTCTATCATACTGTATATAGAGTGAGCATTTAAGTTGACAAAAAAAAAGTCTGAAAGGAATGCTGATTGTTTTGTATCTGCATCATTTACATCTTTCATTTGGTTTGAAAAGCTTTTATTTCCAAGAGTTTTTAGAAAAGCTGGTTATAGTCATGTGCACAGAGACTTCCTTCAGTCTCTACTGCTGTTTGCTATTTCAAGTTGCTTTGTTTCACTCGTTATTCTGCAGTGAGCAGCGTTTGGCGCTTTAGACAGATCAGCAAGATTGAGTTTATCTGCCATAACTCTTTGTTTAAGTAACAGCCAGAGGATCACCTGCACACACTTTTCTGTGTTAACATATGGGTAGGGATGGTCTTTAAACCAACTACCCAGTGCTTTCACTGTCAGCCTCACTAATTTAACATGGAATATATAATGAGCGATGGAACCATTGCAGGACAACTAATTATAGCAGAACATGCTGACATCTGTAAGCATTACAACTGCACTCTTAGAGCTTACCTGACACGTCCACGCCAGGCGCTACACTGCAAACTCAACAGTTCCTGTAACGATTTCAGATGGAATACTATTGTGTGTCAGTAGAAACATTTTTATTGTGAAATATTTTTTCCAGGCATATCATATGCATCTGTACCCCTCTCACCTGTTTTTTGTTTCAGGTATTGAAATCTTAGCATTGCTGCTTGATCAGTCTGTTAAACGTGATGGTAGTGGGTAGTAACAGGTTGACCACAGTTTACCTTTAGAACTAGCTTCATTCTTTGTGGAAACATTTAGAGGAGATTGATCCATACTGACATGATATCATCACACTGCTGCACATCCATGATGTGAATCTCCTAAGATGCAGCAGAGACATTTGCAGTTGTGACCTTGAGCATTAGCTTTGGTTATTGTGGTAGTCTGCACTCTGACCTAGTCCTACACGTAAACCCTGGCTAGTAAAAGCCTGTCCAAACTTTTAACAAGAAAGTGAACAGAGTGCACATTCTGACGTGACTTGTTGGAATGAAACAAGTGTCATGTGAGACCTAGTTTTTAATTGACTGCCTGTTTTTATTTTAGGCCATATGGTTTTCCTCCAGATTTCATATACTGTTTTCTTACCTTAATTGGTCAGTTTCTCAATCTAACCTCTGTTTGATCCAAAGCCTTTCAAGGGAAATGAATTAATTTGTATTTGCATAGCCCAATGTCACAAATTTTCCACAGAGGGCTTTGCAAATTATTCCGCATTTCTTCTATGCTTTAACCCCTGATTAGAATAATTGGGGGAAGAACTCGCCTGTAAGAGTTTGAATAGTGAGGGAAAAACTCAAGTATTCATTTAATGCTCTTCTTCTTTCTTCCAGTGTAAAGGGAATATCTTTTGGTTTTCAGTTGGTATTCAGGCAACATGCTGGGGTTTTTTTTGCCTTTGAGAAACTGTGACAAAGCCCTTGAAGTTTTAAAGCTACCTCCTCTGCTCTGATCCATGCAGGTGAGGCCCATGATAAGGACGTCCAAGTTGTGGAGCTGCCCATAGTGGACAGTCTCCACCCTCGCCCTCCATACCTGCCCCTTGCGATCCCCGAGGACCTGGCCCCACGCTTGCAGCGTCTGCACGGCGACCCGTCTGTATGGTGGGTGTCCCAGTTTGTCAAGTACCTGGTGCGTCCTCAGGCGTGGCTTGAGAAGGAGATCCAGCAGACCACTGCCAAGCTGGGCTTCAAACACCCCATAATTGGGTAAATATGTCCAGCTTTCTCGTCTGTATGTGCACGTTACTTTGCCGCTAAGTAATAATGGCTTTTTTTCTCTATAGCATTGCTCTACAGTAAACGAAATGAGAGAAAACAAAGACATAGCTGTGAGAGCTGTGGTGGAATACAAACACTGCTTTGGGTGAGGTTAATATGAGGTTAATAGAATAGTATTAAAATTAACTTAATTTGATAATCGTGTTTTGTTTGCTTATTTTTATTTATTTATTTTCTCTTACCTTCACCCTTAGAATGCTTTCGCTTTTTCCATTACCACACCGTCAATACTCAGACATCTTATATTCATGCAAATCAGCCTATTTAAAGAAATGTCATCACTCAGTACCCATCACTGAGTGTTTTTCTAATAGCAGTCGCATGCTATACCGGAGTGTCTCATTTTTATTGTAATGGCCCTATTACTAAATCCATGGAGAATACTGATTTGATATTTTGACTTATAAATATAAATAAATGCTAAAGGTGTGTGTGATTTCAGAATCAGTCAAACCTGACAAGAAAGCGGTACCTTTACAACGGTATTAAAAACGAGTGGCCTGGCAGCTTTTCTTTTACCTTCATCAGTCCTTGTTACCTAAAGGTTAAGCCTGGCTATTTTTATTTGTTGTTATGCTGAAGGAAGTCATAAAGAAAAATGAATCTATTCCACTAGCATGTGTTGTATGTAGCTTTCCACAATGAAGTTGAGAAATTATGCTCAAGCATCCTTTTTTATTAATGTTATTATTCTTCTTTTAGCTATTTAAGATGCTGCATTTCAAAGTTTACTGTATGATCATTTGAGTGAAAAATCTTTGCGTTTTGGATTTGGCACATGTAGACGAAGGCCTTCTGTGGCTACCTGCTTGTCATGAAATGTTAGCAAACCAAAAAGAGAACTTCTAACAGCTGTTGTCTGACAGCCCTAATGTTTTTTGGGGTAAATTAGTTCGTCCATGTTTGGACATTTGTGTTGTAAACGCGCAAATCAGTCCGTGCGTGATTACATTGCACCGCCCATCAAAAAGTCTGCGCGTGCGCGAACATATCGCCCATCGTCGATTATTGGACTGATGATTGTCGGTTGAAAAATTTGTACATATCGCCCAACCCTAATTCATAATACTGAATACATTACAACTACCTGTTTACTATAAACTATAGTAGCATATGTAACATTCAGGGGAGCTTACAAACAAAATTTGGGAAAATGTTTTTCAGAAGCATTATGATATTCCACAGTTTCTTCTTGGCATCTCCCGAAGCATTGGAGAGCATTGTATGGTTCATATTTCAAAATGGTCATTAGTTATCTTTTACTAGACTTTGGTGCAGCCATTTCAGCTCCTCTCCCTACCGTTAAGACTCCTTTCTTTTGATTGGCTGTCCACTGCAAACAGAAGGTTTAAACGTCAAGTGAGTGGGGCTTAATAATAATAATAATGGATTGGATTTATATAGCGCTTTTCAAGGCACCCAAAGCGCTTTACAATGCCACTATTCATTCACTCTCACATTCACACACTGGTGGAGGCAAGCTACGGTTGTAGCCACAGCTGCCCTGGGGCAGACTGACAGAAGCGAGGCTGCCATATCGTGCCATCGGCCCCTCTGGCCAACACCAGTAGGCGGTAGGGTAAAGTGTCTTGCCCAAGGACACAACGACCAGGACAGAGAGCCCGGGGATCTAACCGGCGACCTTCCGGTTACAGATACGCTTCCCAACCCCCTGAGCCACAGTCGCCCCATGGAAACAGTCATGTGACCTTATTGAGGATATCCTCTATCACTGGCATCATTCGAACCCGGGAGAAGAATAAAAGTACTGAGTATTTGGGGCAGTCGGAAGCCTGACTTTTATCTCACAGGGATTACTTTTACATCCAATGACCTCATTAGTTAAAACCTGTTTAATATGAACATCCGCCACTGTCACAGTACATATACAACAGAAAAATTATCGGTCCTCTTAAAATTTGACATTTACGAGGTTACAAATATTTAAATATTACTTTTTAGGAAACTTGGCATCAGCTGTGCGGATGAGATGAGAGCATCTTTGCCAAATATGTCATCAGCAGGTCTGATTTCAGTCATCGATAATGTGTTCGCTTTTATTCTTAATGCTTAGTGTTGTGCCACCTCCAGAGATTTGGCTCGCAATGCTTGAAAGTGATTTGATACTCCTTATTGTCCAGCGCAGCATTGTTGAAAAGCATTCACAAGTATGACGAGATCCGTTCCCACGAGGGCCACTCCTTTGTGGGAACGCTCACAGTACTGTAAGCCACTTTTGATAGCAGCCTTCTAAGAAATGGGTTAGACATGTAGCTGTTTATTTACTTGTTTACTTTTCTCTGTATCCCTGTCAGGCACTCAGTCAACCAACATCCATGTGCTGTCTGCCAGCCCCTCTTGGCTCATAAATAATTCCTTCCTGCACCACTTCAAACCTGGATCAAATGAGACTTTGCGAATATATCTCGGCAGTTGTTTTAACCCTCTTGGTCTAGAAGTAGGGAGGAGGATTTTTATATATTAGGACAAGACACATAATCACTAGTAAGCTGTCAGTCATCTGAAAGTATGTGAAATGAGTGCCAGGCACTTTGCTGAGATCATCTTGAAATTCTGCTCCATCCCACGAGACTGACTCCTCCGCCTGGTGAAGGAAGTAGTTCAAAATAAAATAAAATTTAAAAAAAAAAAGCTAAGAGATATCTTATAATATTTTTTGAAGTCAGCCTGCATTAGTTCTGTCATCCTCTTCATAACTCTCACATCCATATGTTCCTAGTCTTTTGTGCCAGCTTCTCGGCCTTCATAACTTCTCTTTTTTCTTCTTTACATTTTGCTGCAAGCGAGCTTCCCAGGTCTCCTCACTTTTCCTGTCCTGCTTTAGTTCTCACTCCGGCTTGTTCCACTCACTCTCTTTCTTCCTCCGACTCTCTGTCCTTATTCTTTGTGGGCTTTTTTTTAACTTCTCTGCCTTTCATCACCCCTGCCACTGTGTCTCATTCTCCCCGTCCTCTTTTAGCCCCCCGCCCCTTCCTTTTTCACTTTTCTTTTTCAAATTCAGTGACTCATCCCAGCGTAGTCAATCTCTATGGGCTCAAAATGTGGTCATAAATATTTTGTACTTGTAATTCAGGATTTGTATGTGTAAAAAAGATTTGTGTGTGCGTAAAAAAGATTTGTGCGTGGACTTAGCCAAAAAAATCACCTGCAAGTTACAAGTACGAATTCTGACCCTATTTTTCTTCCTTTCATCTGATTGGTCAATGTCATGTCAATCACAAATGTAACTGTATTACCCTTCAAGGACCTGCAGTTCAAAAAAAGCGCCCCTCCGACAGCCAAACCCATCTGTTCTCTGATTGGATTGTTACATTTGTGATTGACATGACATTGACCAATCAGATGAAAGGAAGAAAAATAGGGTCAAAAGTCCACACACAAATCTTTTTTACGCACACATAAATCTTTTTACACATACAAACCTTTTTTTACGCACACACAAATTCTGTTTACACATACAAAACTGATTAACAAGTACAAAATATTTATGACCACATTTTGAGCCCTTAAATCTCTACCATCTTCTCACATCCGCTCATTTATGATTGTTCTTCTGTCTTCATTTGTTCATTCTGCTCCAGGAGTTTTCCCGTTTTTATGCTTCTCCCTCACTTCTTCCTCATGTTCCCAAGGCATAGATCTATACCCACAATTCTCTCATCATTTTCCACACATCTCTATCACAGTTCTTTGTGTTCCCCCCTCCCTACACACGTATATCCCACCCTTTTCTCCCTACATATCGCTGGGGAAAAGGGTTATTGAAATGAGGCGCTGGGTAGAACAAAGTTTTTATTCCTTTTCCCCCCTCTTCCCTTCTCAGCTCTTGATATAGCCACTCCACTGTGTAGTGATGTTACAACAAAGTGCCTGTGTGCTTCTATCAGCACTGTGGGGGAAGGCATTATAAGTGTGTCTGTAGAGTGGGGGGTTGGTGGATGTAAGATGTGAAAGTTGGACTGAAAGGAAAAGGCAAGAGGGCGGCACTGGTGGGAAAGGCTAGGGTTGATGGAGAGAGTACCAAGAGGGGATAGAAAGGCAGCTTGTCCCCAGAGCAACCAGCAACTGCCAGCCGACCTCACGTGCCTCAGCCACCACACCACCACTCATGCCCCGCTGCTCCCTTTGGATGCGAGCTGCAGAAAAGCTGGAAGCCACGGACTAAAAGCAGCAGGTCCGGCCTGCTGCGATTTAATATTAGAGGTACAGAGAGGGGAAAAAAGCAAGTGGGAACACTGCCACTACTGCAGATACAGAGGGGTTCCCAAGTGGTGAATTTACCATGAAGCCTTGTGTCATGTGTATTCTGTTTTTCCTTTTCTTTTTTTTGTAACAGCTTCTATTAGACTGCGCACATTTAAAACCTCTCAGCTCATTGTAAACTCAGGCTAAAATATATCTTTTGGAACAAACATAAAAAAAAAAATCAATAATACAAAAATCTACATGAAAAAAAGCTGCTTCAGATGTTTTTCACTGACATTTTTTCTGTCCTTAAAGAGACTCTAGTGTATAAACAGCAGCATATTTTCTTTTTATTCAACTTTTTTAAAGCTTTTTGGTTCCTTTGAAAATTACCTGGATTGTTTTTAATCTATCATCTATTACTCGTGAAGTAGCATCTTTTTTCCCTTTTTTGTGTTGGCGGTAATCTCATAATAGATGACATGCTAACAAGTTTTAAAATGTGCTGATATGAAAAGCAAAACTGTAGTTTCCCGGGCCTTTCATATATATTATACATATCTGAGTTGGTCTATTTTCTATATAAGGTCTGGTGTACACTACAGGAAAGGTATAACCTTTTTTGTTTCATGAGTGCTCACCGAGCGTGATCTGGATCATGATATGACCATCACAGTCACCAAATATTCATCCATTAAAGTCATTTAGGGGTGATATAATAGCACTACCCACACTACTCATCACCAAATTGCCAACAGAGAATATAATTTAGTCTTTCATAGAGGCTTACTGTAGCCCTGACAGCTCATTAGGATACTTGATGATGGCATTATATTTAATTTGTCATTATCTATAATTATGAGCACTGGAGATAAATCTTAATAACAACTTTGACATGTTTTGGTGTCAAAGTACAAGTTGCATCAGTGGTGATTCTACAGCTTTTGTGTATGTAATTATCACATGAGCTGTTTTCTAAAGATTCAAATGTTAATAGCAGCTACAGTTCCAAAGCCCAGCAGCCCAGAGCTCCGGTGGGCAGAGTACTGAGGTCATACTCAAACAAATAATTCATTTTGTCTGTATGCTATTGTCGTAGTCTGCCAGGATCAGCGCTTGCTGCGTCTAGGGTGCGGGTGTTTGATGTCTATAATGTATGTTTTTACACCCACCGTGAGAATTAGTCTGCCTTGGCAATATTGTATGAATAGGGAGGAGTGAATTGAATTATTGTGGCAGTTGTGTGGGAGAGCGCTGGTGGGATTGGGGGGGCTAAGAGCAAAGCAGTACCTCACAGCGGCCTCTGCCGCTCTGACAGAGAGAGAAAAGAGCGAGATAAAACGAGGGTTTGTGGGAACAAAAAAACGGGAGACATGAAAGAAGAGCAGGAGCAGGAGAGAGGCACCGTAACAAAGGATGGGAAAGCCTGATGTCGAGACCTCTGTCCGATCAGAGACATCGACGCTGAATGAAAGACTCACGGCGCCCATTCACCTGCTGTTCTCACCTCCATTCTGTGGGTTTCATTGCCACGTAAATAAAGGCGAGCAAACTCAATAGTTACTGATTGATCTGTGGCCAGCGGTAGAAATTAGAGACAAAGTGTTTATTCTCTCAACGTCTAACTTTTTCTACTTCTGCTTCATTCTCACAAAAGAGATCAAGGCAACCGTGAGGTCACAGAACCTTTCCAACTCCCAAAGCAGCTGAGAGATCCCGAATAAGTGGAAGTAAAAGACTAATAGGTTTCACCTAGGTGCCTCTGACTGTAGATTTTCCAGTGGAACTGCTTCTTGTCCAGCAGCAGACAGCTGGTTGTACTGGCCAGCTCCCATAGCGGAATTATATTAATGTGGAAAAGGCACACATGTTTGCCCCACCCCCCAAAAAAAGAAGTGAACACTTAAAATGTCTTTTTCTCCAGTCTCATATTTATAAATTTCATTTTCTCCCTGAGGGCAGAAGTCACAATGTAGATATAGCTGGGTAGCTGTGTAAGTGAATAGTTATGGTTGGAATAAAATTGTGTTTCTGCACCCATCAGGTTGACAGATGGTTTTGTGTCCGAGGAGGAGTTCTCATCGTTTGTTCCGTTTTCAAGCTGTGCTCTTTTTGTCAGATGTACAGCAGTGACAGCACTCTCTCTCTCTTTGTCCTTTCTTACTGGAAGTGAGGACAAGGATACTTAAAAAAAAAGAAAGAAAGGAATAAAAACAGCTGGGTTGGTTATTGCTCTTTCTGTCCATTTTTCTGTCTCGCTACATCCTTTAAACTCCTCTCTTGTCACTGTTGGCCTTTCTTGTTTACTTTGTCTCTATCCTAGCATTTTTTTGTGGGTGTGCATTTGCCGTTTAACATGCCGTTAAAGTAAAAGTGCTGTTTCCTTTTTACGTTTGCAGCAGAATAAATGCAGTTGTGAACAAAACAGGAATTTACTGTTATTTTGAGATCGGTGTGGATTTAAAACTAGGTTTCGTCAATGACGGTAACACAAAAAAAAGTGTATTTTCTTTTCTCGTCACGACCGTGTGCTTCTTTCCCCCCCGACTGTTATTGGCTTCTAACCGTTTTGAAAATAAATCCCTTAACTTTGTCACCTCAGTTAATCTGAATGTTTTCCATTCCTCATTTTTAGGAACTTTGGTCATATCTATTGAACATCCATCAGCATTGCAGTCCTGTGAAAGTTTTCACTGGACTCTATGCAGTCTTTTTCAGCCACTCTGTTGTAGATTTACTCCTGTGCTTGTGATCATTGTCCTGTTGCATGACTCGGGATCGGCCAAGCTTTTGGTGTCATACATGTGGCCTCTTTCACTCTTAAATACTTTGGTAGGAGTTCATGGTCAGTTCAAGGTGCTCCGCTCCTGTGGCTCCAGAACAAACCCAAATCCTCATCCTTCCACCACCATGCATCGTTTGTGCTAATGTGCTATATGTCTTTCACTTGACATGGCGCCGTGTTTTATGGCCCAACATCTCCACTTTTATTTGTCTAAAGGACATTTTTCCAGTCTTGTGGTTTGTTCAGATGAAACTTTGCAAATCTAATCTGTGCGTCATGCTCTTTTTTTAGAGAGATAAGGCATTTTCCTAGAAACCCTTCAAGATGAGCCATACTTGTCTTTTTCTCATATTGTGGTGACAGCTCCACACTAGCAAAATGCCACAACCTGTGCTCTTTATAGAGGCAGCTGCATGTGCTGATGATCAATAAACCAGGTTCATCTGATTATCACACTTGGTTGCTACTTGCACTTGTAATTCCTTTCGGAGTCATAAGAGTTTAGGTTCCCTGAATGTGTTTGAATATAGACGTGTTTTTTCTTTCTTTATTTATTTAGTTTTGGGGGGTTTTGTAAGGCGCAGTAAAAATATTGTCATCAATCGCTGGGATCTTCAAAATACTTCAGCAGTTGCACATGTTCCAGTTATTGTAGATTACATTTTTAGCTTAGTCTACCAGTATTGAAACAAAATATGTTCCTCCAGCAATGTAAGCACAAGAACTAGGCACCGTGTAACGCAATTATGAGTTGCACCATCATAACTGTGTTACGACTGTTTTATGGCCTGGAGAGAAAATGCCGAACGTTTCAACACAGACTTCATTCAAGATATCAGAAAGCCAAGCAAATAACCAGTTTAATGCAATGAAAAACCTTTTGATTAGTCGTAACTTAATGGTGTAAGTTTAACACAGATGACTAATTTGTTGCCCTATCTTTGTCTCTCTCTGTCTCCAGAGTCCATGTGAGGAGGACAGATAAAGTGGGGACTGAGGCAGCCTTCCACCCCATAGAGGAGTACATGCTGCATGTGGAGGAGCAGTTCCAACATCTGGCCAGGCGTGTTCATGTCGACAAGAAACGGGTTTACCTAGCTACCGATGACCCATCTTTGCTGCAAGAAGCTAAGACCAAGTCAGTGTCTAGGAGTGTGTGTGTGTGTGTGTGTGATCTGTAAGAGTGTTTATGTCCGACTGATGCGTACGTGACAGTGTGTTTTTGTATCTGCCCGTGTTCATTTTGTTTCCTTAGTGTGTATTTGAGGTATTTATTTGTGTTTCCGTGTGCATATCACTTTCAGGTACCCAGACTATGAGTTCATTAGCGATAACTCCATCTCGTGGTCGGCCGGCCTCCACAACCGCTACACCGAGAACTCTCTTAGAGGAGTCATTCTTGACATCCACTTCCTCTCCCAAACCGACTTCTTGGTCTGCACTTTCTCTTCGCAGGTCAGTTCACGCTTTCCAGTTCATTTTTGGAGAGAGCACGAAACGGTGTCTTTGATATGTTTTCACATGAAACTGAAGGTCAGGATGGATTTGATGTTGGGATGAAAGCAGCTCGGAGTAGCTCGGAGAGCTGACTGGAATGTTGATGCTTTCAGACACGGAGGCGAGAAAGCAAATATGGTTGATGTGGAGTAAAAATAAACCTTGTAATCTGTCAGGATGTGCTGTTAACTATATTTCAAGTATTCTCAAGCTCACGCATAAAGGTCATTTTCATAACCTGCGTAAAAGCTGCTTTATTGATAAGACCTGCAGCCTTTCTGTTGTCAGCATCTTATATTTCGCCTTTGTAGTGTGCTCGCACACTCTGAGGTGTAGTTTAGCTTTGGCCAAAACAATAACGAGGCATGGACGACACTTTCCCCGCACTATTATGTTGCCTGCGATTTGTTTTGTACACTAACTAAAAAAGTGTTTATACTATATACCCAAGTAGAAGTATATTGATAGTGAATTTGATTTGGCTGGCTTATAGCCAGCGCCTTACTTTGTTCTTGGCTAGTGCTGGAATAGTGAAATATATAAAATCAGCACCACTTAGCACAGGGGTGTCAAACTCAGTCACAGAAAATTAATACCTGGATCCAACTCAAACAGCCACACTGTTGATATTTATTGAAAAACATACTTGAATTTATTGTGTTTTTTCAGCTGTTCTTCTCCCAAGACTTCTTAGAATTCAGATTTAAGATCTAAACGGCTCTGAGAGAGCAAACAAACAGATGAGATCACATTAAAAATAAAAGATACATAAGTGACATTCGTTTTTGTGTCTTACTTTCTTTAAAGTCCGAGTCATTTCTAACGAAATCATTTTCTCACAGCTTGTAGGCGGAGCTGGGGCATCGTTTTGGCGATAAAACGTGGGAACTGCGCAGCGCCCACGTAGCCATACTTTGTCTTGAGTGTTTGACTAAACTGGAGTTTGATCAGTTTGATTTAAATGTTTGTAGGTGCTCTTTCCAGAATGACTTGCTGAGAAAGTGAAACTTACTTTTCTGGGCAAATCTCCACGTGCAAATCTTCATGTACTATGCATGCTCAGTTTTTTTCAGCAAAACGTCCACTTGTAGCAAATGTTGCAGTAGAGACCTGTTTTGTCATTGATTGGCAGCACGCAGGAAGAGACCAGCGTTTCCCGCTTTTCCCACATTTTAAGAGCTCCGACTGCAGCGTACATGTCTATACTCACGCGGTCCCGCTCCCGAAGCCGGAGGTTTAGCGCTTTGAGATGTTTCATTATGTTGCACAGAAACCCCAACTCACCCTGCCACTTTTCATGTCAGAGCTCTGTGGCGTCTCTCCCCCTGCTTTCCATGTACTGACAAATTTCCTCAGACAACTCGAAACATCTGTTCAGCACTTTCCATCGGCTTAGCCATCGCACCTCAGTGTGACGGGGCTTCACGTTGGGAGCTCACCTCCTCCAGAGGTGATGGAAATTAGCGACGATTCAAACCTTTGGCTCATGTAAAGTAAACTGTGGGTGTTGCTGTGCTCATTACATGTTTAGTTTTTAAGAGTTTTACCACACAATCCTTCCTGGTGTGTGACGCAGCGTGCAGTTTTTCTTTCAGCATGCTCACACGGCTGCTCTTCTCTCTGCACATAGCGGGCACTCCTGTCTGCTTAAGCTTCACCTCAAAAACTGCTTGCTTTTTGACTTTGACACATGACATTGCGCACTTTAACCATATTTTGGTTCAAAAACTCAACTTCAGTAAATGCTGCGATGTAGTTATTTCTTCCACCACAGTAAATCTGTTACAGCAGCTTTACTTTGAGATTTGGTTTTTGTCTGCTGTGACACCAGACTATTTTTTTCTTTTTCTTTTTTTTGTTTTTAACTCTTCTACCTTCTGGAGTTTCTGCTGTATGTGCACACCCCAGTGCTTGTTTTGGTGCTTCGTTTGCTCATGTCGTCTGATGGTATTTTCTTTCATTTTTCCACATGAGCTCCACACATAAAGGATAAACCTGTTTGTCTTATGTTATTGAGCAGATGCTCTTCCTCCCACCTGTATTTAAAGTCCGGCTTTTGTTCGTTCATTTCTTTAACTCAAAACGACTGGACGATCACAGGACTCTGCGTATTTCAATCAAGAGTCAGGAGGCCATAATTAACATGCCAACATACCAGCTATCGCAATACAGCCTGGGTGTAGTCCAACTGGTGTGCTTGTGCATGAGAGACGCATTATAGCTGGCACTTTATATAACTTAAAGGACCACAGGCCTTGCATTTAGCATGTGGGATTTAGCATTTAGCATACTACATACCATATTATGATGATAGCGTTAGCTTTCCCCATGTAGCATTTACCCTCTGACTGGATTTTTTTTTTTTTTTTTTTAATCAAAAACATTAACAAATACACATGACTTCATGCTTGGATTGCATGACGTTTTCTACCATATTGGGGATTGAGCACCTCAATATGAACCCACCAGTCACTAGGGAAGATCATGTATTTCCAGACTAACTGACAAATCGAGGTTCTTGGCTGTCACTCGGTGAAGCCGGTCATATTATGATTGTTTAGTTTTCGTGGAAGCCACTGACTTATTTGCAAACACTTGCTAACTACCAGCCTTTTGACTTTAAACAATGTAACACAAACCAGAAATGTAGCCAGCACATTTTAAGAGGCAAAACTTTTATTTTGAAGGGGAAGTTTTCTCCATCTCTGGTTTGGATCATGCTTATCACAATTTCACTGGTGTGTTTGTAGAGAAGTCTGCTTTTTTTCCATTCAAACTACAGGTGAGCGTGCAAATCTGCTAGCAAGCAAAGAAATCACGAGGAGGTTTGTGCCAACATGTCAGGGAATACACATTTTTTCCATAGCAACCAGTGGTTTCTAGGGAGTTGCTGACTGGTCTCTAGGTCTGTGTAATAGAGGCTTTACCAGGTGATTTCCTAGCATAATACTTGCAAACCAGACTGGGGATTCACATTTTTCTGTCATGTAGTGACAGTAATAGAAGGATGTTCGTGGTCCGTGAGTCTATAGTGATTAATGGACTCCACATCAACAAGCTGTCGTTAGCTAGCATTGCTCACTATTGACACCATTGCAGAGCTGAAGCGCCACGGCACTCTGGAGCAAGCATTAAATTCCTGTTCTTTGCTTATCCACAAATTAATGCTCCTTACACTGAGATCAGTCCAAAGTCGGTGAGAGGCACCTGAGAGAGTCGGTACACATTCATAAATGTGCTGTAGGAATAAAAAGTCAAAAGTCAAAAATGTGAGGAAGCTGTCGAATTTATCAGTGTGAAACACTTTGATAATCAGTCATGTGGTCACCAACAAACACACAGTTCCCATCCATAAGTCACTTACCATGTTCTATGTCTCTTTGGCTAGGACTGAAAATGTATATGTCGAAGTCCCTCTTCGTCTTTCAACACGATTATCACCAAGACGGCTTGAGATCTTGAGCATGTATGGATGTTTCTATAAAAATAACACCTGGCTGTGCTTCTGTTTCAGGTCTGCCGTGTGGCTTATGAGATTATGCAGACACTGCATCCAGACGCCTCCTCCTTCTTCTACTCTCTGGATGACATCTACTACTTCGGAGGTCAAAACGCCCACAATCAGATTGCCGTCTACCCCCACCAGCCCCGCAATAGCGAGGACATTCCCCTGGAGCCCGGCGACGTGATCGGCGTGGCCGGGAACCACTGGGACGGCTACTCCAAAGGCATCAACCGCAAACTGGGCCGCACCGGCCTCTACCCTTCCTACAAGGTCAGAGAGAAAATCGAGACCGTGAAGTACCCGACGTACCCTGAGGCAGACAAACTGCTCAACTCTCAAAATAAGTAAAAGAAGAAATGATTGAAAAAAAATTAAGAGAAGGAGTGAGGAAAAAAAACATGTAGTCTCCGATTCCAGAGAAGGAGGCTGCTTTTGTACAGAAGAGAGAGGCGTACTTAGTGCGCTAAGCTGAGAAGAAAAGAGGAAGCCTGTACCCAGGGGTGATAGGAATGCGAATGCACTCTGTGTGTTAATGCGTGAGCGTGAATGTGTGTGTATGTGGGAGAGAACGCGTGTGCGCACTTGTGTAAATGCCTGTGCATATGTCAGGTCATGGAAGACTTGCACCCTACCACTACTCCCCCGCCTGACGTTCTGATATCGGGTCCGTAGACATTTAGACGTGAACATTGATTTTAAATAAAGCAAGAAAACAATTAAAAATCTACACAACCGACCGAGCTGTCTCTCTCCCGAGACGGCGCCGGGACTACTGTAGAGTGAGCTTCGAATCAATGACTGAGGAGGAAAAAAATGACAAACTGGAAAAGAAGTGTTTTGATTTTTTTTTTTTTTTATTTAATTATTTTCAGTGGTTTTGATTCTAATCTTGCCTTTTTTTGTTGTTCGTTTTCTCTTGTTTTTGTTTACTGAATGTACTGGACCCTCTTCTCGCCACGCTCACCGCACCTACACCCCCCTCGATCCCCTTCCTCCTTTACCCCTCTTACTGTGCTTCCTCCATCTCGTCTCTTCACGTGCAATTAATTTTACAATACCATGTTGTGCTTTTATCAAGTGTCTTTTTAAGGTCTTAATTTTGTATGTATGGGGCTTGTGCATTGTATACTGTACTGTGTCCGTGTGTGTGTTGAAAGAGAGGATGAATGGGTGCGATCAAAGTGTGCCTGTGTGTGCTGTTTAAATCTAAGGGGCCATGTCATGACCAGGTGCCTGGTTACTGGTGAGCAGTTTTGGTTTTTTTTGGTTTTTTTCTTATTTCTTCCTTCCCCGAATGAATGTTTGTGCAGTTGAGACTGGCAGCGACAGTGGGGACTGTCCTCATCCCCTCAGAACAACGGGGAACGCCAGTCACTCCGCCGGTAACGAACAATGGTAAGATTATGTGGAGTGTGGTGAACTCACAGTGCACGCGCACAGACACCCACGCAGACACAAGAGCCGTCCCGGGGCTCACCAAACGAAGCACTCCACTGAGATAATGTCCTTCTCGGCATCTTTGCTGTTTCTTCTGTCCATCTGTTTTTCTTTTTGTTTGTCGTTTGTTTTTTAAAATTTTAACATTGCTATTTTAAAATAAATGAGGAAAATATGCCTATGTTGAAAATAATAATGATATGTCATATCAAAATTCCCCATCATGAAGGCTTTTTTGTTTTTCATAACTTATGTTCTTGGGCATTGTCTTTGATAACCACAGATCGAATAAACTTGAGAAACCAACACTGCATTTTTTCCCCCTCTGGTCTGGTTCTGTTCACCATCTGCTCCTCCGTCTCTTAACTCTCAACAAGCGCTTCACTCAATCAGGCTAAACATGCTTCAGCTACACTGCACTCATTACAAGCTGAGAATCGAGGCTTCATATTCTGAAGGGCATCCATCCATTTTTCGAGAGCATAACTCATCGCCCGAAGTTGATCTTTCAGTATCTCCGTTAAAAAATTTTTTTTTAAAAACAGGAGAACCTTGACTCTTATCGGCGCAACTTGTGCTGAACATTGGGGGGGGGGTCAAGATCGCTGTTTAAGTAAATAAATAAAATCTGGGTAAATTCCCAGATGATTAAACATGCAACTATTTTGCTGGTAATACCTCAAATTAGTGAAGAAAATCAACAGCCTATTTATGCAAGATGATTCATAATTTTATTGAGGGGGTTATATTGGTTGGGTCTGATTATTGGGGGGGTCATAACCCCCCTGGAAGTTACGCCCCTGCCAACTCTCAAAGTCAGCGGTCTCCAACCCCCGGGCCTCGGACCGGTACCGGTCCGTGAGAGTTGAGGCTCAGGTGTGAAATGTATGGTTTTCAGGGTTTTTATCGGTTTTCAGCGTTATTTTGTTATCGTTTTTATCATTCACTCGGTTTTCTTGGGTCTTTTCACGTGTCTTATGAATAAATCTTTTTTTTTTTCGGTACTGGTACTAGTTTTATTTTGTTGTATTTATCCGCGACACCTTAAAGGCCGGTCCGTGAAAATACTGTCGGGCATAAACCGGTCCGTGGTGCAAAAAAGGTTGGGGCCGTTGCCCAAAGTGATTTCGTTTTGGAACCCTCAGATTAGAGCCAACTCCTAACTTCAAAAGCAGCAGTAGTTTGTTTTATAAATCATTCAGCAAGAGAGTGAATTTATTTGAGTCATTTCAAAGCAAGAACTCTTTAAATTTGTCTTTTGATTTACATTTCAAACTGAACACCAAGATCACTACCTTCACAACTGAGACATTGCCATCCTTCATTTAAATATAGCTTGTGACAGCTACATGACATTTCTGCCCCAAATGCCAAACAGGTTTCCCTGTGGGCTCACAATGTAGGTACGTCAGCGAGGCATTCATAAACTTCCTGCTCTTGTCTGCTGTCCTATTTCCTACTTCCTGCGTGTCTAAATCGTTTATGATCTTGTTCTCTGTGTCTTATTTATGGGCTGTCTTGTTACTTTCTTACTCAGGGGGCTCTGGGAGTTTCATTACAGATCCCTCTTTAATTTCGACGCTGATCTGCATGCTTCATTGGACACCCATAAGGAAAGCCGTGGTGCTGGTAGAGATGATGAGCTTTTTGGTACGATTGAGGGAGAATAATAGTTTTATTGCTTTTTTTTTTTTTTTCCCCCTCCCCCTCCAACGCTTGACAACAATCCACAACCAATTTAGCCCACGTTGACAAAGCGTTCACAATGCACATGCAGTGTGCAGCAGTTCATTGAACATCTCTTTTTCCCTGGAAAAAGAGTCCCTCGTGGGCTTTATATAAACGCAGCTAACTGGAGGGCACTTTAATTAAAATACACTCGTTGCTGTCACAGTGGCCTGTAACAGTTGTTTAAGAGAGACGTTAGTTCAGTTAATTATTCTGTTAATTGGCCACCGCTCCTGATAGAAAGCGTTCAGATTTTGCAGCAGGCAGCTTTCTTTCTCTGCACTTCTGGTGTAATTGTTGCACGGCTCTTTGAAAACACTGCAAGGCCATTTGTGTACCCCCCACATGCAGTTGTGTGTTAAAAGGGAAATTTTCGCAACTGATTACCTCACTCAGTTCCAAATGCATGCGTTTTCTCCACAGTTCCAGCATTTTTTTTTCAGTTCTCCCTTAGACTAATAGAGCAATATTCACACAAACATAGAGTTAAAAGACAAACTTCCTGCCAGTCGTAAAGAGACCCCCTATCAATGTGATTACACTGCAACAGATAAAAACCAGAAGCATAGAAAACTGTCCTCACTGACAGCAATTCTGAGTTATGAACAAAACGCTAACCAGAGCGTCCTAATATGTAAGTTTGTAGGTGACTGCATGTACAGTTCACCATAGAAAGAGTTCATGATGTTAAGGTACAGCTCATGGTAATGGCAGTTGTTTAAAAGAACAACTTAAATATCTAAAGTTCCTAACAATTCAACCATACCTGGATATTTCACTTTCAGCATGAAAAAGTGAGCACCTAAGTTGGTGGAGGTCAATACCTGCAAATGAAATAACATTTTTTTTTTTCTGTATATTTCTGTCTGGACCAAAGAAATTGATAAATCAGTCCAAAATTATTTAATTATATTTATAGAGCGATAAAACCGAAGCCTCTAAACTGTTCAGTTACACTAGTGTAAAAATAGGTTGTCAGGCTTCTTTAGGAATAACTGGTAATTGCCTGCTCATTCAAGTTGGTTGCCCAGAGGTTGAGGTTGTTACACGCTCCGCTACTGGTTGCAAGGCAATTGCACAGTTCACCTGGTGTGAGGCGAACCGTCTTCAAACCTTAAAACTGACTCCAATCTCTCTTAGACAAACTGACAAAGGTTTGCAAATAATTACCATCTAATTCATGTATGTATTATATTGCCATTATTATTGCCAAGCACCGATGTCATTTTACAGTTAAATTGCTGGTCTGCAGCAGCTACAGGTTTATTAATTGGATGGTTTATCGACCCCACGAGGAAATTATTGTGTTACAACAGCAGGTTTTATAATTGCCAACTTGACCTGATTCAACCGCAGACTGATAGCAGTCGGCCTTGGTGCTTTTTCCCATTTTTATGTCTTCTTGACGCACCAAAATCATTCTGTCTTTGAAGCAACCATTGCAAGTTCATTGCACACGGTTTCAAGAATTTCATCCTTGCCTCGGTCTCCAGTCATCATTTTCTCTTGTGTGACTTTAGCACAAGAGGAAGAGACCATCAACAGAACGACGCTCAGGAACTTGTTGGGCTGGCGAGAGGAACAAGATGACAGAAGAAGAAGAAAAGACTATAAAGAGAATAGACTTCAGAGAATAGACAAGCATGATCCTTGCCATGCATAAAATCAAGAGGCTAGTGTGTCGAGCATTTAAATCAGACAAGCTCGGACTGGGAAAGCTTCATTTTGGCTCTTGCTGATCTGATCTCAAGGACTTCGCATTGCCCTCTTTCTTACAGTTAAATGACCTGAAGGTGACGATTACTTCAGAGCCAATCTGGTGACTGATAACTCTTGTGATTGTTGTTTCAAAAATGTGAGCCTACCTTTTAAGTTTGTGGGAACAGACTGGGATTTCAATGTGGCCGTGTAACTGATGGAATTCATATTATAGATAAGTGGTTTCCCCGTCGCCTTGTGGAATTCTAATCTTGTAAAGGGCAGCTGAATTAATTCTGACTGACTCATGAAAAAAGGGAGAGGGAATGGAAATGATTATTGTAGTCCAGGCTGGCTCCAATCAGTACTCTGTTGGCACAGCAGTAACAAGTGAAGTCTGCCCCACGGTAGCTGGCCCACATCAAAGCTGAGGGAAGGAACTCCAACTAGAAATGGTCAGGTTTTTACAGGGTGAAGACTGTAGGTGACAATCTTTCCCATCATCACTTTAAATCAACTCAGCAATTAGCATGGGTTTGGATTTTATTAGCTCTGTTTTTTTTTAATTTGTTTTTTTAACCCAGCTGTTATCTCGCGTCACTATGAAGCTCATCCTATAAAGCTGTTTTTTGGCACGGAGCGGGCTCAACTAAAGTGGTTAAGAAACACATCATGGCTCAGAGGCACAAAAGCATTTTATTTGGCACATGTGCTGCACTTCGCTATGATCCCTGCTGCGAATGCACTAAATCAGTAGTTTTAATGGAGTGCTGACTCACCGGAGACTATATTATTTGGAAAATAAAAACCACCGCAAACCCTGGCATCTTATTTATATTTATATACAGCACAAATTATAGGTTTTGTTATTTTTGAAATTGTTCTTACAAGATCAGTTTAGCAGGTTCGCTCTCCTTCTGAGGCTGATGTTAGGATAGTAAGAAAGAAATTTGAAAGGATTTATTACTTTGCTTCACTGC